TATTTTCTTGTAATTTATTAAAAGAAGGTACACCGCCATCTTGTGCCGACTAAACTGTCTTGAACGCACCTGACGTCGTAATTACGACTTGTCAACTCGTGAGTACGAACGTCCCAGGAGGACTTGAACGCAGCATCAGATGCCAGTCTGTGTGACGTCACACAGACAGGCCCCGCCCACGATAGTTTGATTGACAGTAGCGTTTCAGCACAGACTGGGCTGGCGTCTTACCTTAGACCCACCCTGAGTGAACTGTCATCAGTCCGCCATTGTTTCACGCCAGAGCAGTTGTAGACAAGAATGACTCCTAAGCGATTGAGGTGTTCTGTTGTTGGATGTAATAATGAACATAGCAGTTGTCATTTACTCCCGACATCTGAGCCGCTGAACTCGCAGTGGATTACATTGTTTCTGAAGGGAATGCGCCCCGCAGACCGGAGATCTCCAAAATGGGGCGTGAACTCCAAAAGTGGGCAGAACCTCCAAAATGGGGAGGGGTCTCGCGCAGCGCAGGGGAAAGATTTCACTCTATCGCTCTGTTCTAAGCAATGGGGGCGTCCCGGGGCTCGAAATTCGCAGGGTAGGAGGGGGTAGTGACGCTGGGTGTAACTAAAAAGGTGCCATTGTCCGGTGAGGTCCGGTTGGGGAGTTACGGAACCACGCTATTCAGCGCCAATCCCGCCGTGCAGTAAATTTCACTGGTTAAGGTTAGGGTCAGGTGTGGAATAGGTTTAGGGGTTAGCATTGTTTGTAGCATAATGTAGGAAATCAACACTTTAATTGACACTTTAATTTAAAATCTTTAGAATCAGCTGTGGGGCGGAGTTTGCACTGAAGTGGATTGGGGGAAAAAATTGCGCATGCGTGTCATGTGCCTCTCCCACACCTGACCCTAACCTTAACCAGTGAAATTTACTGCATGGCGGGATTGGCGCTGAATAGCGTGGTAAAGAAAGTTGCAGTTCAGGAAATAAACAGTTAATAAGATTATGCGATATGAGATCGTTCCGTAACTCCCCAACCGGACCTCACCGGACAATGGCACCTTTTTAGTTACACCCAGCGTCACTACCCCATCCTACCCTGCGAATTTCGAGCCCCGGGACGCCCCCGTTGCTTAGAACAGAGCGATAGAGTAAAATCTTTTCCCTGCGCTGCGCTGGGACGGCTCGCGGGAGAGCTCGTGGGTGATTCCCGTTTATATCATGAAGCAGAGGCAAAGTCTTTGCGCGAGGAGACCCCGCCCCATTTTGGATGTTCTGCCCACTTTTGGAGTTCACGCCCCATTTTGGAGATCTCCGGTCTGCAGTTATATCTACTTGGAGATATTCAGTGAAGTAGTGATGTTTACTCAAAAATAATGAGCCCCACAAAAATAAAAATAAACTGCTCGTTCAGAAAATGTTATTGTTTAAAGTAGCATTAACTATTTCACATATTTTAATTGTATTATACACAAATTTTTTATGTCAGTAGTACTGTTTGGGTTTACAGTCTCTGACTTTTGGACCCCACAGTATTAACAAATATTTTAAAAATCAATCCTATAATAGGTGATATGAACCTGACATCTTCCTATGTGACCATTAATAGTTAATGAAAGTGCCCATTGCAGTACTATGACTATAAGACAATAGAATATTTTAAGATCCAAGGAAGTCATCCATGTTTTTCAAAAAGAAGTCACTAAGAGCAGTTAAGTTAAGTGCACCACTATCTGTAAGGCACTATACCTCACCTCTGGGGATGGCAGTTTGCTGGAGACTCCCTCTACTGTGTTCGTCAGTAGCATATCACCCAGAATGTCTCTGAAATATCGAGCCATGACTTCCTGTTGCTCTATGCTGCAGTGGTTTTCAATGGACACGATGAGCGGATACTCAGATGCCTAGAAGTAGGAATGACCGTAAGATTAATAAATCTGGAAATAGATTATTATGTATCTGTGTAAATAATTAATATTAACATAAACATCAGTATCATATAACATTATTAACTGGTATTAACATCAATAATGCCAATAATGTGATCAACAAAGTAAATAATTATTAATAGATATTCATATGAATATTGATATTTGAAACATAGATCACCTTGAAGGCATAATTTGCAATAGTAGTAATCACATCTTTGAGGAGAATCTTAGATGTCAGTGTGTGTCCATGATAAACTACCGGCTCTCCATTCGATCCATTCCAGCAGTCCACCTCTACACACCTGCAGCCTCGTTTCAGTGCCCTTCAGAGGTTCAACCCAGCACAAATAAACAATCACTGTCATGAACACAAAGAACAAAGTGTAATGCATTCAACTAGGCCAGAGATGCCCAAACCAGGATCCACGGGCCAAAGTTGGCTTGTGGTGACCTTTGATTTGGCCTGCCATTCCATACCACAAGAGGAAGGAAAAAATGAAACATTCAATCTTCATTTCTAATGTACGTTTTGTTTTTGTTCTTTAAATTTGTGTTTCATTATTTAAAAGTGTATTTGGGCATCTCAGAACTAGGCGGTTTCAATTTCTCTGAAGTTATTGAACAGAAACATTATACATGTATGAGAGATGCTACTACTTACATTCTCATAAAATCCTTTTCCACAAAAGATATCATCAAAAATCTGTGAAATCAAGTAGACACATTACCATAAATAAGCAGAACTCACTGGATGTAGGCCTCAACGCTGCTTGGTCCTTTTAGCTGGTCCTCCATCAGATAAGTGTTGTGTGATGAGGAGATGTAATAGTGGGCCAGAGGTTGGCTCATGTCCTGAAAAAGGCCCTGCCGCTCTGGATTGAAGATGGATCCCTCAGGAGACGTCAGGTACATTAAGAACCCATCGACTGACATCGAGTGATTCTTTCTGGCTGTACAAGAAGCCAAAATGAAGCATCTTATTTGTTCAATCTTCAATACTTAGTAATTGTCGTAAGTAAAGGACCACTTCACTGTTGCCCATGCAGCGATCTAGTTTAAGTGCTCAACTACTCCATTATTAAAAGAGTATCCAAATAGGCAAACAAATAATTTTTCAATTAAAAATTTAAACCTCAACTCTTGCATGATCCCTAGAGTGTCTACAATTTACTGCTCAGTCTAAAAATGTTTTCTGAAAGAAAATATTATTTAAAAAAGAAATGAATTAAGCTATATAAACACTATATTAAGCTAACTTCAAGCAAAGCAAAAGTTTAAAAGCTAAAGTTCAGCTAAATATTTAATTGTGCCTACCACATTAAAATGTATAAGTAAAATTTATCAGGAATAATTAATTTAGTTTGTGCCCTTTTCTCAACAAGGCATCAAGTATTTAATATATTAAATATTATAAAGTGTGGTGATATTCATATATATCACAGAAATTATAACTGAAGAGTGTAGTATAGTGGTTGATGGTGGATCATTACCTGTGTCTGAAGGCTCATAGCAATCGATCAGCTGAAGGGCATGTTCATAACTGCCCTCCCCCTCTAGCTGCTCCTCTCTCAGGAATTCCTCCAAATCACACTGGGACAGACTCTGTCCATCACTGGAATAATCCTGGAATAAGTCCAGCACCTCTGTTCTCTCTGTAAGCATTTTGTAGAACTCCACAAACTCCTGGTCCTCCAGGGTTCCTGACTCAGACTTATCTGCCATCTGTGAGAAAATGTCAACAAATGACAATAAGGTTCAACATGGTGTAAATTTATGATGCAAAATCACATAAGCAACACATAATCACCCTAAAAAGACAGCATGCATGTTCTTCATTCATGTCCACGTTCATCATTTTCAGTAATTTTTTTGCCTCCTTAAAATTTATTCTGCCATCCTTGTTTAGATCTGCTTTCAAAAACCAGTCTGAGATCCATCTGAGTGGAATGGTTTAGGTTGATAATTTAAGTTTACAGTGAACAGCTGGACTTCATTAACCTCTCTCTCTCTCTCTCTGTCTGTCTGTCTGTCTGTTCGTCTATCTGTCTGTCTGTCTGTCTATCTATCTATCTACCTACCTGTCTGTCCTTCTATCGTTCCATCCATCTATTCATCCATCAACTGTCTGTCTGTCCATCCATCCATCCATCTATCTATGCCTCAAGCAAAAGTACAAAAGTAAAATAAATAAATAAATATTTTCACATGTAGTTCTGTAAAGCTACTTCAAAAAGGGCAGAAATTAAGGATACTGGTCAAGTTTGGTGCTCTCATCCATGTTCTCCATGTTCTCCATAAGGACTCTGATGCCCTGAATCCAGGCCTGAGCTTCCTTCGCTGAATCAGCCACCAGGTCCAGGTTTCCCCTACGGCCGCGAAACACCAGAGTGAAACAGCGGTCAGCAGGAAAATCATCTGCCACATTGAGGAGCGCCTCGGACTGATGTCCCTCGCGAACAGCCTCCACATCACTGATGGAGACTGAAAAAAATTGTAAAGAAAATATAAACTTTGCTTATAAGCTTTTTTTGTTCAGAGTCCTTCTTCTCACAGTTTTTAATGAACTCAAACTAGTGCTTGAAAAGGCAAGCTTCATTATTACTAATACTTCATGTTTTACTATTGGAGCTCTTAATTTCATTGGAAGCTGAAGATGTTCAGAACCCCCCACTCCCCCAATGTTGAAAAGGTAAAAATGACGGGTGTCAAAAAAAGCCACCCACTGATACCTATAGCTCCTCCCCTTTGCAGCCAGCAAAACAATTTAACTAAATGAGCTCATTAATATTACTTAAGACACATTTACATTGGTAATCTAATTAATATTATTATTGAATGTATCCCTGGACTTCCAGTTCCAACTTCTCTCATGTCTAATCTACTACCCTGACATGTCTACTTTTATTCATCCACTAATGTATACCTTTTGGATTTATTTCCAAATTACCTTTAAGTACAATCAATAACTGCTGATACTTCAAGACCATTATTTTCTATGCAATAGCTAATAGCTTTCTCATATATAAGTCTGTTTGTGTGTTTTTGTTTTGGCAGTCAATATATATTTTCTTAAATAAATCAGTAATTTTTAGCCCATCTTGTATCAATTATACACAATTAAAACTAGACCTGAACTAACAAGATTACTGAAGCATTTAAACCATCATAAATACTAAAAACCTCAACTCAATAAGGGCGTACAGGTAGAATAAGAGGTTATTGCCCAGCTGGATTTATATGCGATAGTCTTGCAATCCTCCTGAAGTTTGTAGTGCCTCAGACGCTTCCACATACGAGACTTAACCTTGCGCAGAAACATGCCTGCCTTCATGGCTTCAAGGTTTTGATGACCCTGTTCACCTGCCAGAGAACGAGAAATGGCCATCAGCAATATTCAGAAAAACCAAGCTTATTTGAACAACAAACACACACACACACACACAAACACACACACACACACACACACACACACACAGGATGACTTACAGCATGTTTGAGGTGATTCCATTCTCTATTAGTTCACCTTTTCTGCAGACACAAATGAACATTGTATAACCATCTCACCAAAAATTCATTTTTCTGGTAACAAATGCCTATATTGATTTTTTCCAATATTTCACCTTTTCTGCAGACACAAATGAACATTGTATAACCATCTCACCAAAAATTCATTTTTCTGGTAACAAATGCCTATATTGATTTAAAGGAAAGACAGACTCACAGACATCACAGACATGCTAAATTAAATCTAGAAATAGGCTGACTGCATAACCATTGTGCCCTATTTTACAATGGGGAGACAACTTTCTAGTGAATTTCTCCAAAGGAAAAACATGTTCATTCAGGCAAAAGTGAAGCAGTGTGGTCAGGCGAGTCATGAGTCATGGCTAAATATGTCTCTGAGATCCACACGATCCTCTGCTGGCAACATCATTATGTTCTGTTATATCCCAAGTGGATAAAGTAGAATCTAATTAAGCTCTTTCCTGCCATTATTTGGTATTAAATAAATGGATATTGTATAGCATTACCAGACTTCACTTTGATTTGAACCCTAAATGAGGCCATTAGATTTTTTTTCTTAATGTGCCCTTACACAATCCTAAAATATTGTAGCAGTTACAGAGTCTTAGTGCAAATGAAGACCATATTATGCTCTAATGTGAGCCACTAATAACAGTAAATGCTGACAAAGTAATGTTGTAAACACAGCAAAGAGAGAAGGGAGAGGGCTGCAGACAGCTGAAGCAAACAGACACAGAAAAAGAGGATTAAGAGAACTCACCAGACTAAAAGACGTCTGATGAACTGACATCTAGTGGAACTGAAAGAGCTACACGGGGAGGATGGGCTCTGCTGCGTGTGAAGGGCTGTGAAAACAGTGCCGCAGTCCGGGCTGCTTCCACATGATGCATAGCCAGCCTGCTTCCTACACCCCTTCCTCTGCCTCATTCCTTCCTAGACACTCCCACTTTTCCTTTTTTCCTGTCTTTTTAGGTGCAATGGACAAATCATATAAAACAGAAAAATCATTATCATTAATAATTACAATTCTGCATTAAATAAAGAAAAATTAGAAAGTCTATGTTACAATTTATGAATTTTAAACAAGTTTACACCATATACAATATAAAAAGTCCACATATTTCACAATATTACACAAAAGACACAATTTGTACCATGTACATTACAATAATTAGCCGGAATTATGAGAATTATAAATAGACAGAAAGATGCACAATATGCACAGCCTTGAGGGACTATTCCTTGACAGTTTGTTTCCAGAATGTCAGAATTATAAACCCATTTAGACAGCCAAGCACAATAAATCAGCAGGATATACAGAATGGTGAAGTCTTTACCAAGTACAACCTATATTTACATATATATTTACATAAATTATTTTGGCAGAAGTGACTTACAAATGAGGAAAGATACAAATACAAGCAAAGCATGGAAATGCTGACAAAACTCATACTTGCTGTAAAACATTCTGGTTTAAAAACACTAAGATCAATGTCTTGACTGAAAATAGCTTTAGAAGCTTTATTGTTGAGCAGGAGAGCTAATATCGCCACAGCAACTGAAAACTACCAGGACATATAATAGAAATATCATAATGCTGAGTGTGCATATTTAAAGGTAAATTCTATTAGCATTATTTCTTAATACAAATAAATGATTTGATTTGGCTATCACATACATTTTTCACATTGCATCTTCTTTGTTTTTTGTATAGCTTTTTTGCACAAATTAAACAGTATAACATAGTTACACATCATTGTTTTAAAGCAGATGAATTTACTGCAGCTGGAATCTGATATGTGCGATAGAAACATGTCAAGATTATTTATTTATGCTATGTATAAATTAATAAATCAGCTTTGTGATTTGACTTTTGTTGAAGGTGCTTCATCCATATACAGCCATAGTCTCAGCCAATATGAATGTGATCATTTGTGTGGCTCTTTCTTGCGCCACTTTCAAATAAAACTGGATGCTCTATGTGGGTCTCTTGGCACTGAACCAACCACTTCTACTTGTGAGCAAGCTCAAACTATTCAACTGTTAAATAATTTTACCTTGACAACTCCAACCTTAATTGCTGAAATAATACAGAACTCTAATTCTTCCTCATGCCAGTTAGATCCTGCACCCACATTCCTTCTGAAACACTGTACTTCTGTCATTTCTGCT